CACCTGACACAGCAGAGCCAGCAGGTTTGGGGTTCTGGGGCTCCTGCACCCCGGCCAGTACCTTCTCTTGCTGTTGCCCTGAAGGACAGAGTTGGGGTTGATTTGAACTCCCATGGGGTGACCCAGCGGAAGTGTCTTCTCATAGGAACTCCCTCCCCAGAAGCAGCCGCCCTGGCCAGGGCCTGTGGGGAGGGCCCCCCCATGCATCGGAGCTCACCACAGCCTGGTGTAAACTTGCCTTTGGCGTACCCGGGACAGTGTATGTGGCCAGAGGGCACAGCGGTCATCATGACGGGAAGGGGACCCGGACCGAGCTGTCGCCAGCATAGCAACATAACATTTGGGGGAAATAGGAGTCATTCATTTCCACTTAAAGTTCTGTTTTTGTTTTAGGGTTTATTTAGAGAGAATGCACGTGGGAGGGGTAGAGGGGGAGAGAAACTCCAGCAGACTCCTCACTGAGCTTAGAGCCCGAAGCAGGGCTTGATCTCAAGACCCTGAGATCGTGACCTGAGCCGAAACCAAGAGTCCAACTGACTACACCACCCAGGGGCCCCTAGAGTTCTATTTTATTTTTGATCAAGAATAATTTGCTTCCTGTCTGTAGGTAGCCTGAACCCTCAAAACAGACATGGCGTTTTTTTTGTTTTTTTTTTTTAAAGATTTTATTTATTTATTTGACAGAGAGAGACACAGCGAGAGAGGGGACACAAGCAGGGGGAGTGGGAGAGGGAGAAGCAGGCTTCCCGCGGAGCAGGGAGCCCGATGCGGGGCTCGATCCCAGGACCCTGGGATCATGACCTGAGCCGAAGGCAGACGCTTAACGACTGAGCCACCCAGGCGTCCCCAGACATGGCGTTTGTGAGGGTCACTGGAAGGGGCTTACAGGGGTAGGGGAAGCAGGTCTGTCAAAGACGCCCTTTGCAGGGACTGTCCCTGAAGAGTGAGCCGGGGACTTGGGTGGGCCCATGGGAGAACCTCCCCCACCAGAAGGGGCCATACTCGGGCCCCTCTGCAGGACCGATCAAGTGATGTCCAACTGGGTCCCTGTCCCTCCCCAGATGTCCCTGAGCCTGTACCAGGCCAAGGGATCCCATACCAGGCCAGGGGATCCCATACCAGGCCAGGGGATCCCATACCAGGCCAGGGGATCCTGTGGAGCAGTAACAAGAGGCCCTAGGGACATCTGAGCTGCCGTGTGGGCCAGGCTAGGCTGAGTGTTTTCTATAAACAGTCCTCGTTAATCCTCATAACAATTGGCTTTTAAGTACGTTTGTGGGATCACATCCCTTCCCTGCTTCCGGCTGTACCAAGAAGAAAATCCAGACTCCTCCCCGTGCGCAATCTGGCCCCTGGATGTCTCTGCTGCTCTTTGCCTTGCTTGCTGTGCTCTGGCCATTCTGAATGTCCTTCTCTTCCTGGAGCTCACCAGCCTGTTCCTGCCTCAGGGCCTTTGCACTTGTTCTTCTCATTGTCCACAGTGACCTTTCCTCAGCTCTCTTGGCTGCTGCTTCTCGTCACTTGAACTCAAATTGAGAGAGGTCTGCCCTCATTACCCTAGTAATTGGCACCCACTGGACAGGATATCGAATGGAATTTTTTCCATTTTCCCAGAATTGCAGGCTAGGCCCAGAGCGGAGGACAGAGCACACCAAGTACTTCGCTGCATTCCAAATGCAGAGAGTCACAGGCGGCTGGTGGAGCCTCCTCCCACAGGGCTGGTGGAGAGGGGTCCCCTGAAAACCAGCCCGGCCCCCACCCCGTTGCTCTGCAGCGACCCTGAGACTGGTGGGCGGTGACCTTTAGGGGATTGCAGCGTTTGTGATCAAAAGTCATTCCCTCCATCCGCATTGGAGGCCCAAGGAAGGTGGTTTTCCAGGGCACCTGGCGGCAGGGACTGGCTGGTGGGGTGTCTGGATTGGCCAGAGCACAACAGGCTGGGGAAAGTGCAGTGGAGCCATGGCAGGGAGCACGGATGGGGGGAAGTGAGAGAGATAATGGGGTGTGCTTGTCTGCAGGGTGTCACGCACACCCCAGCCAGTGAGCCCGGGGCGTGAGCTCACCCTGCTGGTGTTGCGTGAGGACCCACGCCAGTGAGGTGGGTTGTATTTATCAACTCCATATCATATGCGGGTACCTGCCCTTTGGGGAAGAGGCATGGCTCGTGTGAGGTTCAGGCAAACAGAGCTGGACTTGGAAGCCCGGCCTGCCGGACTTAACACTGGATCACCTCCTGCATTAGCTCCTGCCTCCCTTCTCCACTCCTGACCCCTGACTGTGGATGTGGAAGCATGGCCTCCTTCCCCCTTCCTGGCCCCTTGGGCAGCCGCCGGTGGCGGCGGGGGGCGGGGGGGCATGGGCAGCAGCTGAGGCCTGTTTCCTGCATCCCAACAGTGTCCTATGGTAGCCATGAGCTGCAGGAGGAGGATCTGAGGGGACAGGCACGTCAGCTCCAAAACTTACCTCCAGGGCACGAGTGTTCAACTGAGAGTAGTTTATATGTTCTTACATGTTTGGTGTGTTTCCTGCCCCCGACTTCTTCCCAGGAGCCAGCTTACACCATCTAACGTGGTTGTGAATGAGTGTGTGTGTGTCAGTCTAAGGAAAAGGCTTTGCGGGATACGCCCTAAAATGTGAGTCGTGTTTACCTTTAGGAGGAAGAGGAGGTAGGATTGGGGTGGGCGACTGAAACAGGACTTCACATTTTTGTTCTACAATTTTGCATTATTGGCCCTTTTTGTGATGATGCATTCCTGTTTAAAAACGACAACAACCGAGAAAACCACCCTGGATCTGGTTTTATAGATGCCTAAAGCAGTCGCTGCAAGCCTCGCTGGCCCTGGAAATGCCATGCTGTCTCTTGGGGTGGGGCTTGAGGAGGACACCTGTGGGGGCTCGGGGAGCTCTCCAGGGTCTCCTAAGCATGCCCCAGCCTTGGACTCGCTCTGAATCCGGCATGTCCCTGAGCTCCTTGCTGCAGCAAACGACACTGTTTGCTCCTCCCTGAAGGTCCTTCTGAAGGAACTTTGCAAGGTGTGATAATCGTCTTTGGAGTTGCCAGTTTAATATTCCACCAGAATGGGAGGCCAGTTGAGTGAGGACTGGTGCTGTCCTGCCCAGCTCTTGTTCTGCTTATAAACATGTTTACTGCCCTGAGAAGGAGCTGCTGCTTTTCTCACACACAGGATGGGCCTGGGGTCCCCTTCAGAGGTTAGCGGGCCCAGAGCCTAGAATGAAGGATCTAAACCCTATAGGTGGGGCTCCTGGCTGGCTCAGTCCAAAAAGCGTGTGACCCTTTATCGTGGGATTGTGAGTTCGAGTCCCAAGTTGGGGGTAGAGAGGACTTAAAGAAATAAAAACTAAAAAGAAAAAAAAAACAAAACAAAACCCACAAAGCTATAGGTAATTTGCACATGGGGCCTGTGGAGTGCAGCCTGGGTGTGGCTCTTCAGGGCCTGGGCAGGGGGGCTCCTTTCCCACCCAGTACAGAGCAAACTTACCAGCTCCGTGAAGGCTTCTTTTCTTCTGAAGAGGAAGGAAAGGCTCCAGCCCAGCCACAGGCCGGGTTCCACTGTGGGTGAGGGACTTCTTGGTGGAACGTGTGAAATAGGTGATGTTACAAAACCTTATTTTAGTTCATCTTCTCTATGGGGAAGATCCTATAAGAGCAGCATCGACTGATACGTATCCAGGGGAGCTGGAAGCTGGACTCTGACAGACCCGGGCACACCCGCATTCACAACAGCATTGCTCACGGGAGCCAGGAGCCAGCAGCGACCCGAGCCCACCTGCAGATGAGGGGGTAAACACAACGTGTTCTGTCCACATGGTGGAATAGTCTTTAGCCATGAAAAGGAACGATGTTCTGATTGGGGGAGGGCAGGATGGACAGGTGGAGCACAGCGGTATTCTAGGGCAGTGAAAATACCCTGTATGGGCCTGTCATGAGGATACATGTCATCATACATTTGTGCAAACTCCTAGAAAATACCCTTGGTACCCTGCAGATCTCAGGTGATGATGACGAGTTCATGCAATCTCCTCACCGGGGAGCAGTGCCAATGGTGGGGCAGTCCATGCCTGTGTGGGGCGGGCAGGGGGTGAGAAATCTCTGTGCCTTCCTCTGCATTTCCTTCCTCTCCATTTTTCTGTGAACTTGAAACTGCTCTAAAAAACAGTCTTAGGGGCGCCCAACTGGCTCAGTCAGTAGAGCGTGAAACTCTTGACTTGGGGTCAGGAGTTCCAGGCCGACGTTGGGTGTAGACGTGACTTAAAAAAAAAAAAAAATCCTAAAAAAATAAAATAAATAAAGAATAAAAAATAGTCTTAAATTAAAAAAGAAAAAATTCTGGGGGCACCTGGGTGGCTCAGCTGGTTAAGCGTCTGCCTTCGGCTCAGGTCATAATCTCAGGGTCCTGGGATTGAGCCCCGCATCGGGCTCCCCACTCGGCAGGAAGCCTGCTTCTCTCTCTCCCACTCCCCCTGCTTGTGTTCCCTCTCTTGCTGTGTCTCTCTCTGTCAAATAAATAAAATCTTTAAAAAAATTTTTTTAAAAATTAAAAATTCTGATACACGCTATAAATCTAGATGAACCTTGAGGACATGATGCTCAGTGAGGTAAGGCAGACACAAAATGACGAATGTGTATGATTCCACCTCTGTGAGGCTCTATGAGTTGTCCCGTTCATAGAGACAGTAGAAGGGTGAGCACCAGGGGCTGGGGAGGGGACGTCTGTGTTTAATGGGGGCAGAGTTTCAACTGAGGAAGAGGAACGCGATCTGGGGACGGACAGTGGTGAGGGCTGCACAACCGTGTGAATGCGCTTAATGCGTGCACTCAAAAATGGCTAAAATGGTAAATCTTCTGTATATTTTGCCACAGTGAAAAATACTGTATCAAGGGGCTTTCTCCAGCCTCCTCACACGTACAGGTTTTATATTGTAATTCTTTAATTTCCACTCCGCGTTCTTAAGGCGTGACTTCCTTTTTATATTTTCAGGTGAACGTTCTAGGTGCAGGAGAAACTGGAACGATCTGGTCATTTACCGAAATCTGCTGAAGCAAAACCCTGAGCCCTCGCGTCCACCTATACCATCCTGGGCGGAAAGGCTGGTCTGAGGTACGTGGCAGACATGGCCGAGGACAGTAGTCTTTGGCAAGGACAGATGTTAAGTCTCCTGAACGGTAGACTTGTGACCCGTTAGCCAGAGAGTTGGAGATTGCACAATGTACCCATTTTGTAACATCGGCCTGGATCTCTGTGGTTGCCCACAGTGGAGGGATGGCACCAAATCCCCCAGTACCTCTGGCTCATTCAGACCCAGAAATGTCTTAATGTCAAAGCTACGACAGCTTCGATGGATTTCAGAGCCTTCATGTCTGCTCCCCAGCAGCGATTCCTCTCTACCTGAAACTTAGCTGGCATTTCTGGAGAGTTCAGGGCTGGCCTCTGGATTCTGACCCAGGGCTGGTGGGACAGAGCAGGTACACAGTGGAACGCAGGCCATAAGGGCCCAAAGCCTGACAGGGCGGAAACTGAGCATCTTTTGAGTTGCGGGGGTGCTGTGGTCCAGCAGCTGCAGGGTGGTATGTAGGGCGGTGGGGGGGGTGCTCGCAGGCCGCCCCCAGCCCGTGAAAAGCTGTTTTCAGCCGGATGGGCTGGCCTAGCCCTTCGGGGAACTCAGCCCTAGCCTCTCCTTACTCAGTCTGTGTGACCTACTCAGGTAACTGGGTAAGCCCCATGGAAAGTTCTACTGCAGAGTTCATAGTGAATTCTCAAAATACCCACTTATCTTAGATTTTTTTTAAAGATTTTATTTTTTATTTGTGAGAGAGGTCACAAGCTGAGGGAGGGGCAGAGGGAAAGGAACAAGCTGACTCCCTGCTGAGCCACCTGGGTGCCCCAATATCCACTTATCTTAAATGGAAGCCCTTCAAATACTCTATATAAAGATTGAAACAAAAACATGCTCTTTAAAATGTGAATCTCGGGGCACCCGGGTGGCTCAGTTGGTTAAGTGTCTGCCTTCAGCTCAGGTCATGATCCCAGAGTTCTGGGATCGAGCCCCGTGTTGGGCTCCTTTCTCGGTGGGGAGTTTGCTTCTTCCTCTGCCCCTCCCCCAAGCTCATGCTCGCACCCGCACGCTCGCTCGCTCGCTCGCTCGCTCTCTCAATTAATAAACCTTGAAAAAACAAAATAAAAAAACGTGAACCTTCATATGCATTTAAGCCTGACTTTTAATCCAACAGGGTATGGGATGGCAAACAGGTTAGCAGAAAGGCCTCTGAGAGGGAGCTGGGGATTTGGCTGTTCCGTGCCCCACCTGGCAGCCTAGGACTCTCCTCCTGGGCCCCCTACACCATGGACCCCCCGGGGTACAACTGCTTTGTGGACAGAGACAAGATGGACGCTGCCGTGCAGGACCTGGGCCCCAAGGAGCTGAGCTGCACCGAGCTGCAGGAGCTGAAGCAGCTGGCTCGCCAGGGCTACTGGGCCCACAGCTACGCCCTACGGGGCAAGGTGTACCAGCGCCTGATCCGGGACATCCCCTGCCGCACCGTCACGCCGGATGCCAGCGTGTACAGTGACATTGTGGGCAAGATCGTGGGCAAGCACAGCACCAGCAGCCTGCCCTTGCCCGAGTTCGTGGACAACACGCAGGTGCCCAGCTACTGCCTGAACCCACGCGGCGAGGGTGCTGTGCGCAAGATCCTGCTGTGCATCGCCAACCAGTTCCCGGACGTGTCCTTCTGCCCCGCGCTGCCGGCCGTGGTGGCCCTGCTACTCCACTACAGTGCAGACGAGGCCCAGTGCTTCGAGAGCGCCTGCCGCGTCCTGGCCTGCAACGACCCCAGCAGGAAGCTTGTGGACCAGAGCTTCCTGGCCTTCGAGTCTTCCTGCATGACCTTCGGGGACCTGGTGAACAAGTACTGCCAGGCGGCCCACAAGCTGATGGTGGCCGTGTCCGAGGACGTCCTGCAGGTCTACGCGGACTGGCAGCGCTGGCTGTTCGGGGAGCTGCCCCTCAGCTACTTCGCCCGCGTCTTCGACGTCTTCCTGGTGGAGGGGTACAAGGTGTTGTACCGCGTGGCGCTGGCCATCCTCAAGTTCTTCCACAAGGTAAGAGCCGGGCAGCCGCTGGAGTCAGACAGCGTGAAGCAGGACATCCGCGCCTTCGTCAGGGACATCGCCAAGACCGTGTCTCCAGAGAAGCTGCTGGAGAAGGCGTTCGCCATCCGCCTCTTCTCCCGGAAGGAGATCCAGCTCCTGCAGATGGCCAACGAGAAAGCTCTGAAGCAGAAGGGCATCACCGTCAAGCAGAAGAGGTAGGTGGGCCCCTTGGGGCCTCAGGCGTGGCCCCCTGGCAGCTCTGAGGGGCCCACATGGGCAAGGGCTGGGGCACGTCCTGGGGGGTGGGGCTGGAGCCCGTCCTGCCAGCCTCTTGGTCGGCCACCAGGCCGCCCTGCACAGTTAGAAATGCACAGGAGGGAGACGGGGCCTCATGGCCACGGCCACAACTGCTCAGGCAGCTATGGGTGCAGAAGGTGCAGGGTCCTGCTCTCAGTGACAAGGCCTATGGCTGCAAGGGAAGCCGGACGCTGACCGTGGAGTCCGAGGTCTGCAGGGGGCCGGGCTGACCGCCGAGCATCATTTCAGAGCTGCCCCGGCTCTGCCCCTCCTGCTCTGGGCTCCCTTGCTTGCTGTCCTCGTGGCTGCTGGGTATGCCCACCGCCCTGAGCACAGCACCTAGGAGGTGGGCTGGGAAGGGCGCGTGGTGTCCCCACACTGTCTCGGCCTGACCAGGCCGTTGGTATGGAGGCCTTTCTCCTGGGCTACAGGCAGGTGCGTCCTGGCCATCAGTACTTGCCACTAACCTGTCCTTGTCTGTTTTATTTTTCTTTCTCTTCTCTGTGTCCGTTGCTTTCTCCTGTTTTTCAGTGTTTCACTCTCTAAAAGGTAGGTCTGTTAACCACGTGTCCATGCCTGGCCTCTCTCCATCTCTGGCCAGGCTGTCCCAGGGCCTGGCTGCTTGCTCCGGCTCTCAGGGCTGGCTTTGGCAATGCTGCCTTAAAGCCTGGCTGATGTTCAGGCCCTGTCTGCTCAGCTGCCTTGGATGGGCTGTCTGTCAGTGCTTGGCTGGCTCTCTCTCTGTCCCCATTTATTAGGGAAAAGGTGCTTTTGTCCTGGCCCAGGCCGGGTGCTCTCCCCTCTGTAACCTCTGGGAGTGGGGCTCCAGGGGTCAGCGCCATCCCGTTTCTCCCTCAATGGGTGAGAAGCCCCCTGCAGGCTTAGCTTCCACGAGAAGCTCTGCATCCGTCCGGGGTGGGGGGCACGGTCAGGGCTGGGGTCCCGGCTGTGCTCTGAGCCCTCCCTGCTCTCCCCAGGCAGTTTGTGCACTTGGCCGTGCACGCAGAGAACTTCCACTCAGAGATTGTCAGCGTGAAGGAGATGAGAGACATCTGGTCTTGGGTCCCCGAGCGCTTCGCCCTCTGCCAGCCCCTTCTGCTCTTCTCGTCCCTGCAGCACGGGTACAGCCTGACCAGGTAACCCCCGGGAGACCAGCACACACTGGGCCTGCCCTCCCGAGGCCCGCCGGTGCAGGGGGACAGAGCGAGCTGTGGGACCACTCCAGAATGTTGTGGTGGTGGCTGGAGATGGGCCCCTGGGTATTCCCAGGGGGCCCTGGAATTGGGAGCCCCTCTTCCTGGACTTCTCTTACTCCCAGGCCACCCACACTTGAGGGCTCAGTGCCCTGAATACACAGCATGGCTCCAGGCTTCTGTGTGGGTGTTGGGACAACATGGGAAGCAGAATCCCCACCCAGGAGTATAAAGAATCCTAGCACAGGATGACCTGTGGCTATAGGCCTTGGGTCACTACTCCCCGACCCCCACTTGACTGGTCCACAGGTGGGTCCAGGGAATTCTGGCAAGGCCCCCCTCAAGGCATACCACCTCTCAAGGCAGCTCCTCCAGGTGCAGCCCCAGGTGGCCTCAGAAGTTTCTGGCTTGGGTCACAGGTGACTCCACAGAGGTGGCATAGCTAGAGATTGATTCGCCTGCCCCCCCGCCCCCCCATGCTCTGTGGGAGGCCCGGCAGGAGTGTGGGACAGCCCGACAGGGCCACTGGGGACGCCGGGCAAGCCCTGGGCACTTGGTGCCACCACAATGCAACATCAGACCTCCTCAGGCACTTCTCAGTGTTGCCTGTCTCTCAGGCTCAGGCTCCTGGGCACGTTCCGAGCTTTCCTAGAACAGGGACCTGTTCCTCTGGTCTTGCCTCCCTGAAGCACCTGGCACGTGGCTGCTGTGGTTGGTCTGCCGTGCGCCTTCCCCCCACATCATACCAGGACACACAGTCTGGCGTAGCTGACTGCTCGGCCCCCGGGCTGCTTGGCCTGGGCTCTGTCTTGGCTGAGAAGTATCTAGGCCAAGGTGCTGCCAGGTCCTTGGCCATCGTGCCTGCTCCCCAGGACACAGGGAAACACAGTTCCCAGGCCTGTCTACCCCAGACAGCCCGGGCTTCTCAGGTACAGTGGGCACCGGATGCTGTGGCCAAAGGTCGCACCGAGCAGGATACCAGGCTGGATGTGTGGTCTTTGCTCCCAGGTTCTATTTCCAGTGTGAAGGACATGAGCCCACCCTCCTGCTCATCAAGACCACGCAAAAGGAGGTGAGGAGGGGTCTTTGCCTCTGATGAGCTTCGGGGAGGGTGGGTGCTGCCCTGAAACCTCCACCCAGGCTTCCTGCACTCAGGGGTGCAGAGTGGAAGAGGGTGAGTCCAGCCTCCCCGGGTGACCACCAAGGACCCAGGGCCTCCTGTCTCCTCTGGGCCTCTCAGCTCCTGCTAAAGCAGCCTGATACCCCAGGGCCTGGCTTCAGGGAGCACTGCAGAAATAACCTAGTGAGCAAGACCCTGCCTCCCCTCCACCTGCTGTCTTCACCCACCCCCCCACCCCGACAGGTGGTCGTTAGGGCCTGTCTGCTGCAGTCACCTGGACGTGCCCTGAAGCATCTAGGAAAGTCAGAACTCACAGGCCTCCATTCTGGGGGCATGTACTCCTGGTAGAGGCTCCTTGTTCCTTGGCTCCCAAACCTGCACCCATGGGAGTTTTAGGTTACTCACCCTGTTCCCGATCCTGTGTCTGCGTTCTAGCAGGTGACTCACTGTCAGACACTGGGGGCAAAGCCCGCAGCCACTCAGAGGACTGAATCTGTTGGTGAAATCTAGCACTTTGCTAGCTGACGGGGTTGGGGAACATTCTAGAGCAGGGTCCTCTCTGGGAAGCTTCTGTGTGAGGGGCATCCCTGGGGTTGACGGCCGAAGTTCGAGTGCAGACGTGGGCTATTCCCCATGCTTGAGGGCCAAGGAGGGAAACAAAAGTATCCTCAAGCTGATGCCAGCCGAGGCGGCCGCCCACCCACTGTCACTGCCCGCCCCATGTCCTCCAGACTCTGACCTCCCCACCCCGCCAGTCACCTCTGGCTCTCGCCCTCGGGTTGGGGCGGGGGTGTGGCTGTGCCAACAGTGCCCCCCAGCAGCGAGCGAGGGATGCTCCTGCAGGCAGGCGGGGTGCAGCCTCACACCCCAGGCCTTTCTGCCCAGGTGTGTGGGGCTTACCTGTCAACAGACTGGAGTGAGAGAAACAAGTTTGGAGGCAAAGTGGGCTTCTTTGGGACTGGAGAGTGCTTCGTGTTTCGGGTGAGTGAGTCTGCCAGCTGCCCACCCCACAGGGTGCCCCCGTGTTGGCTTCTCGTTGGTGATAGTCAGACCACACTGCATGAGTGCAGGCGGGCCTTGGCCGTGTGCAGCGTCTCCCCAGCCTGGGCGCAGGGCACGGGAAGGAGGGCCCATGGGGGACCATGTGCTGGGACTCATACTGCCCTTTGCCCTCAGCTCCAGCCTGAGGTCCAGCGCTACGAGTGGGTGGTCATCAAACACCCAGAGCTGACCAAGCCCATGTCCTTGGAGGTCCCTGCTGCCCTGTCCCCACCCTGCCGCCCTGTGTCCTCCGACCCTGCTGACCGCCTCTCACCCTTCTTGGCTGCACGTCACTTCAACCTGCCCTCCAAGACGGAGTCCATGTTCATGGCTGGGGGCAACGACTGTCTCATCATAGGTGGGTACCTCCCTGCACCCCAGGCTGGACTCCCGCCTGCCCTTGGTCACTTAGCCTGGGAGACGGGTGCAGGGTCATGGGGCACAAAGCTCCTGCATAGCAGGTGCCTCCCCTGAGGGACGGGCAGAGGACGAGAACCGGGATTGTGGGCTGGAGCAGGGGCGGGAGTGGAGACAGCAGGGTGTGCCGTGGGGGACCCTGGCCCGCCCTGTGGTCTTGGAGAAGTCTCTGGCAGGGTCAGGGCAGGGACAGCTAGGAGGCTTGCCCCAGCCAAGTGGAGAGGCTCAGGAGCAGGGGAGAGTGTTCCGGGGGCGGTGCTGGACAGAGGGGCAGCCACTCACTGGAGCATCCCACAGGTGGAGGGGGCGGCCAGGCGCTCTACATCGATGGGGACCTGAATCGGGGCCGCACTGGCCACTGCGACACTTTCAACAACCAGCCCCTCTGCTCTGAGAACTTCCTCATCGCGGCTGTGGAGGCCTGGGGCTTCCAAGACCCTGACACTCAGTGACAGGCCTGCACAGACGGTGACTGAGCCGTCACCGTGGGGTGGGGGTGGGGCAGGGGCCAGGCCCCCCTTCAGGGGGAGGCAGTAAGTGAGGACCCCCCGTGCTGTGGGCAGCGTCGAGGTGCAGCAGGGGCTCTGGATCTGGGCGGGCCAGGGGATGCCGGGACCTCAGTTGGCTGGGCCTGTCCCTGCTCACACCTGCTCACACCTGCTGCTGCCTCGAGCTTGGGCTCAGGCCCCAGTTGTCCTCTGTGGAGGCATCTGGTGCCAGGGCCTAGAGGGGCCACGTCTTGCAGGCCTGAGTCTCAGTCCCTTGGTGCAGGGGTGGGGACAGGAAAGGCAGAAGGAACCTTCCACCAAATGTGGGGCCATGGCGCCCCCTGCTGGTGCCTCAACGCTGCTCCCGAGCAGAGTCCCGCGGCCACCATGGGTCCTGCGGGTAGGCGGCCACCTGGCCAGTGGCTGGCGCTGGCAGCTCCCCAGAAGAGACAGGCATCCTGGGGACTGCTCCTTGGCCATGTCCCCCTCCTGCTCCCCCTACCACAGCAGGAGCACCTGCCGGGGGCTTCTAACCCCATGCCCTCCTCCCCGTGCTGGCCTCCTGTGGCTGCCTCTCGGACAGTAACTGCAGGGAGAGAGGGGAGGACGGGATGTGTGCTGAGCTCTGGGCCCCTCCTGAGAGAGGGCTGAGCACCAGTATGATGGAGGGCTGGAGGGGACATCGTGGCTTCTTGTGTTTCAGAGCCTGAGGCTTCTGCTGGGCCCCACTGTAGGTCCATGCCCTAAGAGTCCACCAGGTTGGCCCAGGATGGCCCAGGGAGGGGCCCTCTGCAGCTGACCCCAAACCAGCCAGCTCCATATCCAGGAGAAGCCTGGACCCGCAGGAACTTCTTCAGCCCTCCTCCTCTCTGTCCTGGGCCACCTCCGCTCCCCGACAGTCTCTGCAGTGTCCCCAGGCTCCTGTCCAGACTGCTTAGCGTGGCATGCTCATCTTCGTCCGTCCCCACGCGCCCCAGGTTGCTAGGTTTGCCTCCCGCCCAGATCCCTGCCACGCGCTCCTTCACACACCCCTCTGCATCCCTCACACAGCCCTGTAGTTGGCCACGTAACATGGTTTTCTTGTGCCACCTCTGCCCCTTTCCCTGCCCGGCCTGGCCCCACACAAGCCCTGCAGACTGTAGGTGCCACGTGAAGACTTATCGGGGAGTGGCCTCCTACCTCGTGACCTCCCTCAGCTGGTCCTGAGGGCCTGGGCACCCGGGGGAGGAGGGGAAGCCGACAGACACCCAAGCAGCCACGTGGGGCTGTGGCAGCCTGGGCCACAGGTGCCAGGGGTCCTGCCCCCAGCCTGGGCCCCACGTGGCTGCAGCCAGCACCTCAGTGTCCCCGTGTGCCATGCCTCTGCTGTCTCCAACTCGCTTGTTACTCCTGTGAGGCATTGGCTGTCCCCTGCCCACCTACTCCAGTCTCTTCTGAGCTGGGCCACCATGGTGCAGGAGGAAGGACCAGAAGCCCGGTGTGGCATTGGGCAAGCCACCGATCTGTTTCTCCAACTGTAAAATGGGGCCAGTCATCGTGCTCTGCTGTCCCCGTGGGACTATTGAGAGGCTCTGAGGGGGACAGTGTGAGTCCCTAGTGAGAGGAGAGGTGCTGGGAGGCAGTGTCACTGCTCACCTCCCCCCCACTGCCACCCTTGCCCCCCCTCCTCTGAGCCCCCACAGCCCTCTGTTGTAGCGCCCACTTTGGTGTTCATTAAACACAGTCTCGTTACATGAACTCCGAGGGTCCAAGTCTGGTCTCTCCAACCAGAGGGGCCTCCAGGGGCTCCCCTGGGCGCGCCACCGAACGGGGCGGGTGCGCCACCGAACGGGGCGGGTGCGCCACCGAACGGGGCGGGTGCGCCACCGAACGGGGCGGGTGCGCCACCGAACGGGGCGGGCGCCGGAAGCTGCACCCTCATGATGCCGGTCAGTCCATCAGTGGAGTGTTGCCTGCCTTGGAAAACGGTATTCCAGCGCTGTTTACGCGGCTCCCTCTTGAGGGAGGCTGGGGGATTCTTTGGTGAGTGAGTCCGGAGGAGTCTCTGTGGCTGCTCCCAGGGCCCTGCCTGGCCTTCCCAGAGGTCCCAGGTGCTGCTTAGTCACCACGTCTGTCTCTAGCGTGAGGTCTCTGTGTGCGCACGCGCAGCCCTCCGTTCCCTCGGCCGGCCGTCTGCTTCCCAGCTGTCCTGCTGAACAAAACGTATGTGTGATTATTCCCTTCATTTTTAATTCCTATTTATTGTCCTTGTTACGTACGTATCAGGTGTTCCCAAATAGAACATGTTTTGTTAATACTCTATATTGTTTCTTATTACCTAAAATTTGCTTATGATGTTAAAAATAGCTAACGTTTTATGGAATTGCATGACAAATTATCATTCATTTTTCTAGAAACATTTAAAAGTTTATTTTGAGGGGCACCTGGCTGGCTCAGTCGGAAGAGCCTGGGACTCTTGGTCTTGTAGTCATGAGTTCAAGCCCTGTGTTGGGCGTAGAGTTTACTTTAAAAAAAAAAAAAAAGTTTATTTTAAAAATAGAATATAATTTAAACCAGTTCATTAAATAATTTGTTAAAGTGGACTTTATGTCTTTAGGGCTTCAGAACATCAGTTTTTCAAAAACAATTTATAATACAAGAGTAAGTCATTGGTATTATGAATTTTTCAGTTTTAATTACTGAATTAACATTTGTATTTCAACTTTTCCTGCTTTTATAAGCCGTGTGCTTAACTTTTTGAGTTTTTCATGGCACCATGTTTTAGAAAATTCTGAAGATTTCAGGCTTTCAAATTTTTCTTGTTTCCTGAAGCCATAAGGACTTTATAGTCTCCTTAAGTATTTTATATTTAATAGATTCAGTGTTTGTAACTTTTAATTTGGAAATAATTTTAGATTTACAAGAGAGATGCAAAGATGATGCAGAGTTTCCGTAGACACTACCCAGCTTCTGCTATGTGGATACGGGACATGTATCCCAACAGAAATGAATGTTGATATATAGTGCTGTTAACTACAGATTTAACCAGATGCCTTCGGTTTTCCCACAGTCCTTTCTCTGTTCCAGGAATAGATTTAATTTGTACAGATATTTACATTTTTATTAAATCCAGAATATGCTCAAAATTCACAAGACTAACCCTGGTCAAAAAAAAAAACCAAAAAACCCAAATTGCCACTAATTATCACAGTGAGGTGTCAGGAGTGGATGCATGTCTGGACTGTGCTGGTCCTCTGTCCCCGAATGTCTCATTTGCGCGTGGAAGTTACCAACTGAAGCAGGAGTAGAGAGGACGCCTCACCAGCACTTCACCCTACCATGTCGAAGTTAGGCAGAGAAGTGTGTGGATCTTTAAAAATAATCTGGTATAAAACAAAATTATGATCTGGAGGCGTTAAGATGGCAGAGGAGTAGGGGGACCCTAAGTTTGTCTTGCCCCTGGAGCACAGCTAGTTATCAAATCATTCTGAACACCCAAGCAATCAGTTGGAGATCTGAGAGAACAAAACTGCAAGTCTGCAAGGAAAGCAACCCTCTTTTGGAAGAAACCAATATGGCACTGTATGTTGACTAAATTTTAAATTAAAAATTAGGGTCTTCATTCTGTCAGTGTCGGGTTGTGGTCAAGAAGTGAGGTACAACGTCACATGACTCATGGCTACAGATGAAATGCCTCACGTGTTTGCAGACACACTGTCTTGACCCGACCGTATGGAATTTGTTAACTCTGTGCTTGGGGCCAAGGAAGCAAAATCAGTGGACACGCTGTAGTGCAGACACACCAACTGTTAGAGACCTTCTGCTTCAGGTTGCCGAATCTGCAGATGTATTCCCTAGCTGGCCAGCTGGTTCCAGCTGTTAGAGGCGCTTTGTCGAGAGGCACCCCTGAGCGAGGGCGCCTGCAGGTCGGGTCTGCTCCAGGGGCGCCGGCAAGGACATGGAGATCCAGGAGTGGGCCCCTGCTCCGTTTCCTACTGAGGTGCGCTACCTGGCACAGACCACGGTTTGCCAAAAGCTAGCGAGCTAATGATTAAGGAGGAGAAAGGGTTGTGTGAATCACTTTACCTTTCCATTCTCATGTAGCGCGGTTATTGGCTGAGAAATGGATTTTTACTCGACCGACACTTTGGAGCATCTGAATGAATGAAGAATCGTGAGACCAAGTGAAAATAGACTGGGGTGTGGCTTGGCAGACAAATCTAAGCTGGGAAACGTGAAAATAAATGATTTAGTGACCTGGTTGGTCAGTGTTCCTTTGAGTCCTAAATAAAATGAATGCCAACGAATGGAACCTCACTGAAGTATTGGCTATGAGAACGTTTCAGTGGAATGGGAGGTGGTGGGTGCGGGTTGTCTGGGAATGATGCTGTGGAGGTGTGCGGGGGACCAGGAGGCCCCGGCCTGAGGGAGGATCGCTCTCCACCACGCTCTGCTGCACTCACTGTGTGCGGCCCGCGCAGGCCAAGTCTGTTCTGATTTTGTTTACTCCTGTTCACGGCGCCGTCCTGCTGACCCATGGGGCCAGCATGAGGAACGAGGGGGGCAGCCACCAGGAACCTCGGTCCAAAGTCTCAGTCTAGAATCGCACAGATCCCTGTCCCACGGGAAGCCCAGTATCAACAAGTCCTCATGCAACATGAGAGTATTTTATCTGGGAGTTTGTATCAATCCACATGAATTTTGGTCTTTTTGGATAACTAGCATTTTAATTGGGTGTACTGATATCCTATAAAGAAAACCGCAAGACCCGTTTTCTCTGCAACCGGGTAGATGCCCAACCTGGAGGGGCTCCCCCCGTCAGCTGCTGGAGCCCGGCCCGCCGCCGGCACCCCTCCACCCCTCCTGGGGCTGCTGAGGCCTCTGCCTGTGCTGGGAAACTGCTTCTCTCTCTCCTTATCTTCCTCACACTGCAGGCAGCACCCTGTCCCTGCCGCTCCCCATTTCTCTCTGGCTGCCCCCCACAACACTCTGGTTCCCCTCAGCCCCTTCCTGCTGCCCCGCCCTGACGGTGGCCTGGCCCAAGTCTGTGTTGGCCCCCAGGGCCGGCTCTCCGGCCCAGCCCTCTGTTTTTCAGTTCCTCTGCTGCCTCAGGGCCTTTACACAGGCCTGTGGTCGGGGGCGGAGTTCCCCAGCCCTCAGTAGCTGGGGTGCTCCGGCCCCAGAATGCTTTCCCTCGGGCCCCAGGAGCTGGCCTACCCCCCACCCCCGCTGCCGCCTTGAGCCTGGCGGCCCCTGACCAGCAGCCCCTGTGCTGCTGTCCCATGAGGGGCAGTTCTGGAGGGGAGATGGGTGAGCATTTCTGGGGGCCATGGTGGGGGGAGTGCCCCCCAAACTCCCTGCAGCAACAACTTCTTCCTGTAAGCATGCTTAGCTTAGCGTCACTTTGTGATTGACCTCGAGACAGTGGCATGGGCCTGCTCCTGGGGGAGGGGTGGCCCTGGGCGCAGAGCAGTAGCCTCTGACACTCCGGACACCTGCCTCCCTCAGCTGGCTCAGCTTCGGTGACAGTGACCCGTGTCTGTGTGGAGCTCAGCCCGCCCCAGGGCGGTCCCCCACCCCCCACCCCCACGCCCACCAGCACCTGCTGTCACGCAGCCCCTCTGTGGGCCTGGTCCACGGTGGCGGTGGCCCAGCACGCGTCCCCACGTCTAGCCAGCATGGAAGTACTTTGTTAACCCTTCTGCAGTGAGCGGCTCGGTGCACCCCCACTCCCTCTAGTTCCACGACATTTCCCCCAGAGGAACCCTGTGCCCATCTAGCACTTGCTTCCCAGGGCTTCCAGTCTAACAGGTTCTGACCAGATGAAGGGTGCACCTACTAGAGCGTCAACGCAGTGCCTGAGTGTCCTCGTGGGGGATCTTCCCCCGCGGCCCCAGGGGTCACCGCTGTTAGCCTCTGCAGCCATGTTCAGGGAACGCACCTGTGTACCCTTCCTCCGCCTCCTGCTGGTCCCTTAACCCCCTCTCAGGGACCATCCACACTGACACGTGAGCACCTGCTTCCATCTCAGCAGCCGGGTTCCATGCTTGGGAGGGGCTGTGAGTTAGGGACAAACCGGGTCCAGGCTCTCTCCTGCTCTGGACCCCCTCCATCTGTGAGGACCTTGTTCAGAGACCACCCCTCAAAGGCCGTCCAAGCTACCTGATCCCACCCCTCTTTTGTATCATCTCTGCGTCCAGCAACCATAGTTCTGGGACATCATCGTCTGCACATCCAGCCCCCCGGGACTGCAAGCTTCTGCAGGGTAAGAGCCCTCTTCCTCGATTTTGTATCCCAGAGCCTAGCTTGGTGCCTGCACACAGTAGATGCTCAATAAATGTTAGATGGGTGGCTGAGGGTTGAAGGCAGTTGTAAACTCTGGCTGGTGGAGGTAAACCCTGAATGAGGCCAGACTGAATGGAGGGTCCAGGGCACACAATACCCCTTATGGGCACCCTGAGAAGCTGCTCCCCATGCCAGGCAGGGTGCCTGGCCCCCTTCATTCCCAGCAGCCCAGAGAGTGGACCGCACACCACCCCTGGGGGTCAGGGCTGGCCCCGGGGCTCCCTCTACCAGTGATGGGGGTGGGTGTCAGGTCCTGATTGTACTATGCTATATTTACCTAGAGGACGTTTTTATTTGGGGGACTTTTTTTTTTTTTTTAAGCCTTCTGATTTTTTTTATTACTCAAAAAAGCTTCATTTTTTTATTTAGCTTTCTGACTCTGTGCTTGGGCCTTCAACACTTTCACAACGATTTTCTGCTCCTCGATAAGGAAAGCATGCTTGATCCTGTCACGAACACACTTAGCACACATGGAACCACCATAGGCCCTGCTGACATGTTTTTTCGTTTTGGACAACCTCATAAGGACTTCAGGTCTCACAGCACGAACTCCTCGAAGTCGGCCTGGGCACACGCCACATGCAGATTTTGGTGCTTTCCCAACCTTCTTGGTATAAAGGTAAACGATTCTATTACCAGGGGTTCGGGACAGCCTAGTTTTGTTAGAGGCTGTATTATAGGACAGCCTACGACGGTAGGTCAAACGCTGGACCATTCTGAATGCCTACGGACACCGTCCCCGGAACGGGGGACTTTTTTATTTTAAAAAATCCTATCATTTTGGGGGCACCTAGGAGGCTCAGTTGGTTAAGCGTCTGCCTTCAGCTCAAGTCATGATCCCAGGGTTCTGGGATGGAGCCCCCTGTCAGGATCTCTGCTCAGCGGGGAGCCTGCTTCTCCCTCTGCCCCTCTCCCTGCTTGTGCACTCTCGCTCTCTATCTCTCAAATAAATAAAATCTTTTTAAAAATCCTATCATTTTATTCTTAAATTTTTTTTTAAGTTAAGCTCTACACCCAACATGGGGCTTGAACTCATGACCCAGAGATCAGGAGTCGTGTGCTCTTCCGACTGAGTCATCCAGGCACCCCAATATAAACCCTAATTTTTATTTTTATTTTTAAAGATTTTATTTATTTGACAGAGACACAAAGAGAGAGAGCACAAGCAGGGGGAGTGGGAGAGGGAGAAGCAGGCTTCTTGCTGAGCAGGGAGCCCAATGCGGGGCTCGATCCTAGGACTCTGGGACCATGACCTGAGCCGAAGGCAGATGCGTAACGACTGAGCCACCCAGGCGCCCCTAAACCCTAATTTTTAAAAATCATACCAGAAAAATCGCCTTTGCCCATTCCCCTCATGGCACTAATACGGTCTTGTTCGATCTCATCCCAACCTTGCCTGGGCCACGTGGAGCCCTTATCCAGCCAAGCAAGAGCGCAGGTGCCATCTCTTAGCGTTATGCCCCTGTGGCGTGTCTTCGCTGTGACTCAGAAGAATGGGACTGTCCACAGGGAGGAGGCACCCCGCAGTGTCCTGATGCTCTTGATAAGGCTGCCGCCATCAGCTGCCAGACTACTCCTTTCTTTGTTGAAATGGCTTCATTGGGATAAGTTCATCTTTCCAATCATTTGGAAAGTTATTCCTGGTCTTTATCTCCCCAGCTGTCCCCCTGCCTTCCCTCGGGGCTCTGCCAAGTGCTACTGGACTTCCCTCTGCCACCACCTTTTGGTCCTTTTATCCTCATTAGAATTCTTGGGGACTCAGGGCACTCCCTCCCCCCATCCCTCTGTATCTCTCCCTATCAGGGTCTCTGGCTTGAGTTTCCCAAAGCCCTCCCTTTGTTCCTAGAAATCCCCACCTGTGCAATGATGGGCCAGGGTCTCGCAATGCTGTGATTTTCAGCTGGGGACCGAACTGTGAGGGGGAAGGCAGAGGCGTGTGTCCCTCATCACACACCACACCCCCTGCCTGGTGCTGGGGGGCCAAGGGGAAGGCGCCCCGGGTCCCTCCTGGCCCCGTCACTGGTCACTGGATGCTCCCCGAGCCCTCGTGTAGGAGACAAGATGGTGTCATAAGCCACATGGGCTCAGTCCCGCTGGGAGTCAGAGTTTGAATCCAACTTCTCCCTAGCGGGCTGACCAGGGCAAGACGTTTGACCCTCCGAGGCCCATTTCCTTGTCCACAAAATGAGAGTCATGGTGATATCTTCCTCAAAGGGTCTTTATGAGGATTATATAATACACTAAGAATGCTTAGGACAGGTGTGGCACACACTTGGTGATCAGTAAACGTTAGCTATATGTGCCAGGCATCCTACCAGGGATCAGGGATGCAGAAAAAGAGGCACAGGGACCCTCAGTGGAAAAGGTATCGAGTGAAAAAAGGTAATAATGGAGTGTGAGGGATGAAGGAGGGGTCTGAGAAGGGAGGAGAGATCAGGAGGGCTTCCTGGAGGAAGTGGTGCTCTAAGGACTGAGTAGGTGTCCCTATACAGGAAGGGAAGGAGAGAATAGTTGGTGCAAGAAAGCCACAGGCTCAAGGACACAGGTGAGGAGGGAGCAGCGTGATGGGACAAGATTGGGGGGGGCTGGTGCTGGGGATAAATGGGAGGGGACCACCAAAGGGTCCAGCCTGTGACAGGAAGATGTTGAAGGATTCCAGGAATGGAGTGGCTGGTCAGGTGTGCCAGTTAGAAAGATCCTGTGGCTTTCTGGTGAAGAATGCATGGGGTGGGGGGGGTTAAGACTGAGCAGGCCAACCCGGTTAGAGGCTGTGAGGAGACCCCAGCCAGAGGGCAGCGCAGCGGCAGGGTGGGGGCAGAGCTAGGAGCCAGGAAGCCGAACGATCTCAGGGCTCGGTGAGTAACGAGGAGTGAGCAGTGGTGTGACTCAAGGCTTCTGCTGCGAGCAGTTGGGTGGATGGTTGTGTCTTTTGCCCAAAATGGAAATAAAAGAGTGGAACAGAATGGAAGGTG